TTTGGGTAAAAAAATGTTTAGTTCAACTGGATATTTTTGTTTAGGAAATCTGAACCCAATCCTCATCTGGCATGTTAGTGAATGTATTTAGATGGTGATGGTAATGCTACTACGTGGTATATTTTTGGATCTATTTCGATTGCAAAGGAGGTCGTCACTCCTTTTTCACTCATACCTTACTCAGGCAAACGCCCACTGAAATTAACAGATGTTTGCCTAAAAACAAGCAGAAAAGCAATATAATCAAAAATTGATAAAAAAGTTTAGCCAAGGCTAAATATTTTAGCAAAAGTAACACAGAGCAGATAAAAAGATGCATAAAAGGATTCTCAAATTTTGCCTTAAACACGCTTGTGTGCACAATAATTTTAAAGATTTGTCCAAAATTTGAGAGTTGCCTCCTTTTGCAAGACATTTCAGCAGGATATTTTGATGTCACAAATAACTAGGCAGCATTAACTGAAATTGGCAATTCATATCAGTGAACGTAGTCTATGAATAATACATACATATTTGTTAATAGTTGAAATAACTGCTCTTCCTGCTTGTGCATTCATTATGATTCCTTGGTATTAGCTGAATACTTATCAGTATAATGTGAATAATCACATGTTCCATGCAACATGTCTTACATACATACATATTCACTTGCATAGTAGCTGCAAAGCAAGCTGGGAATACAGAAGCTACTGAAAAACTATGATAAGCTTATAACATCAGAGGCAGTTATTGCCAGAGCAGCAAAGACAATGGTGATTTGTTTCCCTAGTTAAGGGAACATCGATATCAATTCAAGATGCAAGTCCACAGCAATCACAAGCAATGCTACACTTAAATGCAAGTGACCATATGCTCATATTGGTGTTTAATTAAAATAATAATAAAAAACAAACAGGACTGGCAGCAGACATAGACTTGCATGTTGTTAATTTCACTATCCAAACAATTAATACTCTCTGCACCCACAGACACATACACACTAGCAAAAATCCTCGATGGAGCATTCCAGGTCATTGAACTGAAGAGACACTTACTGAGAAGGAATTGACTGTGGCTGAACAACTGCTGATGTGTAAACAGAGCTGTCATGAAGCCACATACTGAGGTCATACCTAGCAAAGTGTAACAGGAAGCTTTGTCTGTGTAGAATCCAAATCCCAAGGAGCAGAAACTAGCTGGCATGGATTGACTTGAAATATTGGCTCAGTTTTTCTGCAGCATCGCTGAGTTGGGCCAAGGGCTATCTACCTACATAGGTACTTATGGAGCTCCCATTTCCAGAATATCTGAGCAGCTTCCATTTGTGCAGACCCTGATGGAGATCCCAAGGAGCACAGAGTCCAGGGGTATGAGGCTGAGCAAGTACGAAGAAACTGCTGACCTCATCCCTGCTAGGGGGGACTGGTCCCAGGAGAGGCAGCTAGGGAGGGGGCATAACTTAGGCAGCTGGGGATAAATCCATATCTCATATCTAATAGCAGCCTACAAGACCCTAAAATCTACCCGTTCCAGCAGAACCCTACCTAAGGGAAGGTAGGCAGCAGCCTACCTGCCCTTGTTCAGAGTAAACGCCCCAGGAGGTGCGAGGCGGCTTGCAGGCAGAGAGAAGTATTGGGTTCCATTTCCTCTGTAGTCTGCAGCCATGGGAGGGTGACGGGTGATTATACACTTGAGCAGGTCTGACATATCCTTCAGCAGAGGGCAGTGGCAAGATGTATTGTAGCCTACAGGTGAGGCAGTAATGCCAGGAGCCTACAAGCCTCAAGGCCTGTAAAATAATAGCTTAACTAAACAAGGCAGAAGACCCCAAAGCCTTAGCATAAGCAGCTAGCCAGGAGTAACCCTAGATCAGTGGTCCCCAACGTGGTGCCCGCAGGTGCCATGGCGCCCACCGGGACATCTATGTGTGCCCGCGTACTGGCTGGCGGACAAGCATCTGCTGAAATGCCACCAAAAAGCGGCGTCATCAAGAGGCATCACCGCCGAAATGCCGCCGAAAAGCGGCTTCACCAAGAGGCGTCACCACCGAAATGCCGCTGATTTTCGGCGGCATTTCAGTGGCAACGCCTCTTGACATTGCCGCTTCTTGGCGGCATTTTGGCGGATGCTTGTCCGCCAGCCACGGTCCTCAGTGGCTCGTCGTCCGGCACCCGCCACCCGGAAAAGGTTGGGGACCACTGCCCTAGATCATAAGCTATCACAAGGTGCAACGAACACTGTGGACAGGTGCTAGTTATTCCAGCTTGGGATATTTTATGTTGGGAACTTCAGCAGATGGTAACCATTGGTAACTGACTGACATATATACTAATGAGCTTGAGGTACCAGGCCTAATAACCTATGGGAGAAGGGCACCTCCATGTTAGTAGGGTGAGGATATGCAAATAAGGAAAAGGGGAGAAACCCCTTATTGAATATGCATTAGGCATAGTGGCGTCAGTGTAACACATTGTAAAAGTTGTATCCTGGCCAGTGTGCCTTGGGAGATGCCAGGATAATGACCACTGGGGCATCGTTACAAATGGTGGCCTGTATGGGGATCTGAATTGCTATGGACTTCTGAGAAAATCAGATCCAGCTTTCCTGGCCATGGGGAGTGACACCTATTCTGAATCTGTGTGCTTCTGAGTTTATGATTCTAAACTACTGCCTCCAAATGAATGGAGTTAGTTCTTTAAAACCATGAGTCTCTACTGCCTGAGTTAGAGCCAGAGGTCCCAGATTCAAGCCCCACAAACAACCTGACAAAGGACATCATTACACATGCACCTGGCAGGAGGGAAGACACACAAAGATAATGTATTATTTTAGAGAGTGGGAAATGTGTGATGGCCACTGGGTAGATGATGGTTGGCTGACGGTAGAATGAACCCAGTGTCGGTGGGATGCCAGCTGGAGTGGAGGGAACTGGCTGCCTGTTATTCACCTTGGAAACAGCAGCTTCACTTCCTAGAGATGGGATGAATTACATCTTTTGAAATCAGGGCCCTTCCTCATGATTGAAGTACTGCAGCAGCAAAGACCCAGCTGTGGGAAAGTGGCCTTCAAACCTCCGAAGACCTAGGTGACTCACCTGGCTAGCTGCTTCAATGTCAGAGTTATCCGATAAACTCGGATCTGGGAGATACAACTCCCCAGAACCCCAGGTATCTTTTCGATGTCCTGTCAACATGAGCAGCGTTGCACAGCAAGGGTCTTGCCATGTTTCACTCCAGCCTTCCAGAGTAAAGATAGACAATGAAAATGTAGCAAGCCAAAAATGTCAGTTGAATGCAGTAAGTCAAGCCTCCAACAAAACCTTCAGAAAAAGGTTAAGAATCAAAGGGGAGGGCTCTGCTCCTCATATCCTACAGCTCTGAGTTGTTACAGAAAAGGGAATTCTCCTCTCCCCCTTCCCCATAAAAATTGCCTCACAAAAGGAACCAAAACTGTTTGTTCTTGGAACTGTTTGAACTACAATAAACCTAACAATGGGGAGTGTGCTAAACCAGAGATGGAATTGCAGCTTAAAAATAACTTTATATTTTAACCCAGGAGAAACCTAGCAACACTTCCGTAGATGCTACTAGGCATTCAACCGTAGATAATAAGAGAATGCTTAGGTATCGGCTTTGCAATTAAATTATACCAGGCTGTTGCTACAGTGCTGCCTTCTCTGCAGAAGTTAAAATATCAAGTAGTAATTCCATACAAATATACCATCTCAATACCACAAGATCAGGTACAAATGTTAGCTAGGTGGCAGATGATATATGTGAAATTTATAGGGTATAGGTGGGAGAATGCCATAGGAAGGGGCTGAAGCTGTGGATGGAGCTGAGGACTGAAGCTTGCACATTAAATTGTAGCAAATTCATCGCTGGCTAGGACTTCATGGTTGTTGCTATGCAACACACCACGGCCACTTGGAATTTATAGCAGCAGCAGGGAGAGAACAATTTTCCAGTTCCAGAAGCACAGGCTCCTACTGCATAAGCTGATGGCGAATCTCCAGTGCCAGTTAGGGCTTTTCTGCTATGACGCATCTGAGCAGTTCTGGTTCTATCCAGCAGATGAGAGTGGTACACGCATTTGCACACACACTTGTGTGTCAGTTCACTGCAATGCATTTAGGAAATGAAAAAGTAAAACTCTGTTAAGGGTGGGGAAAAAAGAATTCCAAGACTAGATAAAAGCATTTGTAGGAAAGGAAAAGGTAGTTTGGAAAGAACATTTGTGGGATTCCCCTTCCCCTCCCCACCTGTTTCTAATAAACTTTTCATTAAATGAATAGCTGCCACTGCCCTACGGGAAAGATTTTGACTTGAAAGGTTGTTCTCCGGCACGATGAATCTCCACAATCAAGAGTCGCATATCATCTCAGGTGTCATTGCTCCCATTTCTACCTGGATGCACTGTGAACTGTTGATGCAATAGTATATAAATAACTGCCACAACATATGGGCTCAGTTTCCTACTCTAGCCCTTCAAGCTTACCCAGCTTCAAGTCAAAACACTATGTGCCATGCATCAAGCATTTATCGAGTGGTGCTACCATTTACTTCTTTGTGTTAATCAATGGAGCAACATTAAGTCCTATGAATCTGTGGCTGAAGGGCAAATACACACTTTGCTCAGACCAACAGCCATTAGGCCAGGCCATGGATTTTCAAAGACACATGGTCACCAATCAGTTGCCTCCTAGGAGTATTTTGAAAGGCCTCCATGATGTAAAACTAAGTTAATCATACAGCTTCAGTTAAATAGGTTCATTGGAAAGAAATTTTATGAATGAAATACTATACACTAGGTCAGCCTTTCTCTAGTCCACCTTCTCCGATAAAGAAGAATCCATGCCACAAGCAGAAGAGGGAAACCCCATTCAAGGTTTTTTTTTAAAAAGCCTTCTCCAGTATAGGTTCAGGGAGATCCTGGAATGTTAAGTGTTTCATACCCTTCAGCTTGTAAAACATGGGACGACGACTCCACAGTGTAGAACAAGAAGGGTATAAAGCTCTTACCGTCTTCAGCAGTGTCCTGTTGTCTCTGAGGGACCCAACCATTCCAATAAAGGAAACAGCAAACATTGTGATGCCCAGCAGAAGGAGAACCACAGCTGGAGCTAGGAAGATCCCTTCCAAGGTTCTGTGTTTCTGTCTTTCCACTTCTGCATAGATGCCAATGCACAGGATCACCAAGCCGATTATCTGCAATAGAAATACATACATTACATCAGACTCAAGGGCTGCAATAAAACAGGGTTGCAATAAAACAAAACCAGTTCTTACATGGAGAGACAGAAGGGTGAGATGATTTGGAGCTAAACTCACCAGGGGCCAGGTCTGAGCTCACTTTCACCAGCGTACCATGAAGTGGGGGGGTGTTAGAAAAACTTGATTTTCCATGGGAGCCACCCAACACTGGGGATTGCAATCTCCATAGAATATCAGGGTTGGAAGGGACCTCAGGAGGCATCTAGTCCCGCTCCCTGCTCAAAAATACTCTAGATGTAAATGCATCCCAAACATTAGGTGCTTTGAAATGTGAACCCAAAGATTGCAGCTTCCGCCCCTCAATACCTGTGGAAAGTGAAACACCCTGTGGCAGCCAGAATTAGAGAGGGGTGACAAGGTATGGAAAACCAGCAGAGGAGCTTGGGTTTTGTTCTCAATGGCTCATTGGGAGCTGATGCTCCATGCTAGCTTTTTGTTCTCCAGCTTGTCAGATATTGGAGCAGCACTTCTGAGTGAAAAGGTTCCTTATTGTTTCTACTGAAGTGACAAGGTATTATGTAAAGGATGGAACAGAAGGTGAATGGAAATGAAATTTAAAAATTAGACAGCAAAGAGCAGTTAGCTATCTGAAGGCTGTAGCAGCTTGGTCTGCAGCAGTGACATTTTAATATCTGCTGTAACTCTCTGGATTCAAGAGCAAACACTTGCTGAGCACCCCCTAATGCCTCTGACTTCAACAGGAGCAGCAGGTGCTCAGGACCTTTGAAAATTATGCCATTAGTACTCAACATGTTCACTTGCCATTTTACTCTGTTTGGATGTGATAAATTACTTTACTGTTCAGCATTTCACTGTCTTACCCTAATAAGCACAACTGCTGCTGGAAACAGCAGTTCTAGAGGTTGTGCTCTCCTTTCTAAGTCAGTAGTGACACAACACCCCAGCATGGATACAGCACTGGACAGGATAATGGACTGGGAGTCAAGAGACATGGATTCTATTCCCAGACCTGACACTGACCAACGTGCCTTGGAGCAAGTTGCTTCTCTTATGTTACCAGCATACATAAAGAGAAGTTAGATAAAAACATAAAATACTCTTTCGAGCAGGTGCCATAACACACCATTTTATTCCTTAGAATCAAATCCTAACACACAAGAACCAAAACCAGAGAGAAACTGAAAGCAGGCTGCTCCATAAGACCAAGAGACACAACTCACCGCAATTTGCTCTAGCCTGGCTCTCTGCAGACTGGCTGCACAAGACCCAGTCCCAGATCGCATGCTTCCCTACAGACCCTCCTAGGACCAGGAAACCCCTTACACTTAAAGTCATAAGTAATTTTAAGACATTTTTGAGTATACTACAACTTTGCTTCTCTGTGCTTCCATTTCCTCTTCTAATCCCTTTGTCTGCCTTACCTGTTTAAATTCTAAGGTTTCTGGAGCATGGATTGTCTCGTGGAGTGTTGGTATAGCGACTGTCAGAAAAGGGGCCCTAAACTTGGTTGGGACCTCTAGGCACCGCTATAATACAAGCAAGCAATAACCACAATCGTCACCCACACTGTGCTATCATCTTTCAGATAGCCTTAAAAATCAAGGTCCTGCCCACTAGATCATTACGGGGAGTTCTGGCTGCTCAGCATTTCTAAAAAAAGAGGCCCTGGCCAGCCCAGGCATTCACACATTAAGGCTGCCAAAGCCAGTGTCCACTTCTGAAACTATTTTTTTTTTTAACCTTAACCTCGCCAAACTTGTTCCACTGGCTATACAAGGGGGTAGCACTTGCATATCCCAAAGGGCTGTTGTGATGCTTAATTAAATGTTTCGTGTCCATAAAGAGCACTGAGATCTTCAGATGAAGGCATGATATGAATGTGCTCATTACTAAAGATGCAGAATCTGAATATTCTTAGAATATAGCAAAGAATGATTAAGAGTCAAACATTATGTGTGTTCTCAAGTCTAGCTTCTGTTTCTCAGGGGGTTGTCTGTAATTCTTAGGAATCATTCTACAATATACACAGTTTATTAAAAGGATCTTGCATGATTCTCATAAGGGACACTTAAATTTGCCTACTAAACTTGACTTGCTTTGGTTTCCTATCAGTCAAAGATGCTGAGTGTCGAATATTCCTTATATACTAGTGCCAATCAGCAGCAATTCGACTTAAGACAGTGAAATTACACCAGTGTAAAGGTAGTTAAATGAGATCTGAATCAGACCACATGTCTCTTTTTCTTAACCTGCTCCAAATGGGCAGTCTCTTAGTCTATCCACTAGAGAACAGGAAATAATACAAACAAGAGGCAGCATGATCCAGTGGATCAGATACTGAACAGAGTGACAAATGAGCTGGATTCTGTTCCTGTCATGTGCTGCATGACCCAGAGGAAGTCATGTCGCCATGTGCCTCAGTTTCACTATTTATAAATTAAACTAACGATACTTAGTCACTACTCAAAAGTTCTTTGAGACCTATTGTTGTAAAGCCCTATGCAAAATCTTCCTATTAAGACAGTCTTCCCGCCTCGACTTCTTTGAGATGGCCCTAATTTAAAAAGAGAACACAACATTTCTACAAAACAGTTTCCTAACAAGGGAAGGCTTAAAGCTCTACATCTAAGAATAGGTTCTTGCACACATACTGATACAGATTAAGTTGATGGGTGACAATTTATCTTAGCCACTTGCATGCTTCAGATTGAAACTGGCAATTAGTTCCGAAGTGCTTCATGTTGTCAAATGCTGGTTTGCTTTATGCCCGTCAACTATGCAGCACCACAGCTCTGCAGAAATGGAAGGGGAAGAGAACTGATTACTTCTCAGCCAGCTTCCAGCTGACATCTGAAAAGGTTAGCAAGAAAACCCAAGGTGCATTCAGCCTTAACAACGCTTCATGCTTCCACAAGCACTGCAGGAAACAGTAGTTTCCAGCCCTTTCAGTTATGGGGGATTTGAAATCATGTAGTGTGCGAATTACCCAGTGACAGGCTGCAAGAATCAGGTGAATGCGTGAGGAAGGAACATTCAAACTATTGTACCTGGGTTGATCGGGCCCACATGGTGCTCAGTGTTTGGGAGGGGGTGATAGTACTCTGGATTGGTGCCCATAAAAGAGCTCCCATGGTGATATGGGAGGTGAAGGAGATAAAACACAAGGGGAATACTGCAAAGGCATCCAATGTATGCATTCATAACTTGTTTTCTTATAGGTGCTTTCAGAACTAGGGAAAGATATAAGATGGACAGCCCAGGAGAGTTCAAATACAGGATGAGCAATGCAGAGTTGAGTTTTCCATCCTATTCCATCAAATATTTCATCCCTGACCTGCTGGGGGAATTATTTCTAGAGCTACGGGGATAACACATGCTCCATGCCAATTCAACCTGTCTAATAAGCCTGCCAAAAAGAGGAACACTTAGCAACAGTATTTAATGATTCAGAAGAACCCCAATCTCCAAAGAAGACAGAAACCCAACTTCCCTGTCTGCCATAGACTCCTGTTCCCCTTGTGCCTCCACACTAGCAGGATATATTTCACCATCTTCTGTCGGGAGGGTAGGGAGAGGGGGACAAGGGGAGACAGGTGCTCGGGCTATTTAGGTTCAATTCCTGGCTCTGCCATGGGTTTCCTGTGTAGTTTTACGCAAATTCTCAGCTCCCCATGTGTAAAATCAGGATGAAACTCTCCCCCACCCTCTCTCTGTAATCTATGGAGATTGCAAACTCTCCGAAGCAGGGTCTCTTACAGTGTATATACAGCATTTAGCATAAGTCTCTGATCTCATTTGTGGCCTGTAGTTCCTACTGTCACACTACTGCTTGTGTGGCCCTCTGGAAAGGAAAACATTCCTTTTTTTATTGATACAAATTTCTTGGACGCTAATCACCATAATATCAATATTACAATACAGAAATGCAATTTCATATTGCACAAGTGAAAATTGAGCTCTACCTTTGCATTAGCAAGTATTTTAGTGACATGACTTTGCCTTTCCAAGCTAGCTACACAGTTTCACTGCTTCTGTCCTAACCATTTCATTCGATTTCTCCAGCGTTTTCATCCTAATTTATGTTGATATGTCAATCCTTAACTTTCATGCATCTTCAATCCTCGCTCTTTTCTGGAGTTTTTAAAATTGTAGTAAGGTTATTTCTGGAACATAATTAACTTCTGGTTTATGTCCATCAATCACTGTCTATCTTCAGGCTACTAATTTTTCATTTTAAAAGGAAATTAAATCTATAGAGAAGTGAGGGTTTAATTCATGATACTTGTAGTTATTTAAAATTGAACTGGCAGAAGTTATTCTGATAAAGTGCCATTAATCATCATTTTATCTTTAGATTCTAGTGGGCACTGGGGCTAGGTTTGGTTTAAAGTTACTTTAAATCTTATCTGGCGTTCCAGACAATATACCAAGATTTGGGCAACCAAGGAAAAGACAAGTCCCTCCTTGATCAGTTTCTCTATTGTTCCTAATCTTTGTGTCACTATTTGAAGTTGATAAGCCATGAACACTTCTTGTTTTTTTAATTAATGAGTATGTCATAATGAATTATGAAACAGTTCAATGGCACCTGTGTGTATATAAGATTTTGAAGCTGGTTCATGTTGGCTGCTCATGTGCTCTAGTAAGAAAATCTTGACTTCCATTAATTACTGAAAGCTTGTGAAACTGACAAAGCAGGACCAAAGGAAGTACACCCAATATGCTACACTACCCATGAATATAAACCCAACCGGGTGTTTGGCACGTGGGCACCTGCATTTTGCATACTTCTTTAAAAGTGACCCTTCTGGGACTAAGGTTAACATGGCATATCTGAAGCAGGGTTTGTTCTAGGCATATTCCAAAGTGTGGGGCGGATCAGGGGCCCTCACACTTAAAATATATATTTTTAGATGGTGCTAGCTTCATAAAAGCTGGGCAAAAAAAATCTAGGTGAATTTTTCCCCCCACAA